TAATTTCAGAGTGGGAAAGTATGATGATATCCAACACAAGAAATACCTGGAAGAAACCTTTCCAGGTGATGAAGTGCATCATACTTTTACCTCTGAAGCCCAATTTCGGAAGATAGTCTCCTATTTGCCCAATTGGAAAGCGGCAGGGCGTGATGGAATTTATAACTTTTTTATTAAGAAGTCCACCTCCTTGCATTTATACCTGGTACAAATAGTAAGAAGAATTTGCCTGTTGGGGAGGAACAGGACCCGTGGTTCTTTAAAGGTACTACTTATCTGGTTCCAAAAAGTATCCCAAGTGAAGGCAACAACTTCAGGCCAATAACTGGTATGTTGAACTTTTACAAGTTAACAATGAAATGTGTGGCACGCGCCATGCAGCTAGATGTTGTCATGAAGAAGCTGCTTGCAGACAATGAATTAAGAAGTGTTTCCCAGGTTCAAGGTGTGAAGGAACAAGCAGTGTTGAACATAGCAGTTTGCAAAGACCACGGAAACCAGCTTTACACTACGTGGTATGACATAAAAAAGCGTTTGATTAGTTACGAATATCTGAATGCATGGACCCGTTGAGCTGTCGGCTTAATATAAGGTACCCAAAAGTGGTGGTTCCAACTGATCAAGAAATGCACATTACGAATTACCTGTTGTTGGTGGATGATCTCAAGATTTTTGCAATCAATGAGTGGAATCTATGACAGAAGAAGTTGAAAGGCTTCTTGATGTGGTAGGAATAGAGGTGAATACAGCAAAGTCAGACACTAATACCGAGGTATGCGCTGATAAACCGGCGCTATTGGAAGGAACTCAAGGGTATAAATACCTAGGAATAGTGGAAGATAGCACTAGTGCACCTACCAGTGAAAGCTACGATAAAGTCCGTGCAAAGGTTTCAGAGAGAATTGAGCGGTTAGCCAAAACCCCACTAAATAGCAAGAACTTTATCAAAGCTATGAATGAACACACCATAAGCCTAGCGATTCCGAGGCAGGAGAAAGCTTATTAACACGTTCTTGGCAATTATTGTGCCCTGTTTAAAGACTGAGTATAACCTCGCAGAAAATCCGATGCATGCAATTGGGCTGCAAGAAACATGATCTGAAAGCATTCCCGGTTAACAGCAGTCGAGACCTAGAAAAAGAGAAAATATGACTTTTGCTAACAAGCTTGGGTCAGAGATGAAATGCAGGGTCAAAATCATTCCGTATGTGATGACTTGGGATGGGATTGTAACGAACTTCTACAAACGCTATGCACAGGAGATCAGTATATCTGATCACGTCGAGGCATACATCCAATCGATAA